TGTCCCCCAAAGAGGGTTTGTGGCTAGCCCCCCTCCTACAAGGCAGACCTCTGGTGCCCTGGCTGCTGCTGGCGGAGGCGGGAATGGATTTGGCCCGGAGGGGCCGTTTGCTGTTTGCGCCCAACGCCACGCGCCGCTGGACGGAGATTTGTTCGCGGGTAAACCCTAAACCCTAAACCCTAAACCCTAAACCCTAAGTCCTAAACCCTAAACCCTAGTTGCGAGTCGCCGGGCTGCGAGCCGGCGCAGCGCGGAGGCGCTGGCGTTTAAACCCTTGCAGCTTAGGCGTTTAGAGCGCGCACTAATGTGTAAACCCTAGAAGGTGCCGGGTAAGTCCTAAACCCTAACCCTAAACCCTAAACCCTAAACCCTAAACCCTAGCCGCGAAAGTGCCCGCATTCGAAAGCGCTCAGTCGGCACAGAGCGGCGGCCGAAGAGGAAGAGGGAGAACGCGGCAACTTGAGCAGGGCAGTCGCCGGAGACGAGGGTTTAGGGTTCAGGGTTCAGGGTTTAGGGTTTAGGGTTTAGGGTTTAGGGTTTAGGGTTTGCGTGTTGTGCGCAGGGTTCTGCGTCTGTGTCGCAGTGCCTGTCTTACGTGACCACGCCGCTGCCTTGGAAGAGGGAGAACGCGGCAACTTGAGCAGGGCAGTCGCCGGAGACGAGGGTTTAGGGTTCAGGGTTCAGGGTTTAGGGTTTAGGGTTTAGGGTTTAGGGTTTAGGGTTTGCTGCGTCTGCAGGGCAACTTCCATCAGCTTCCCAAGGCAGCAGTACGTCCAGCAGCTGGAGGCTGAGGGGAGAGCCTTCTGTGTTGCTGCTGCTGCTAGCGCTCCCCACAAGCAGCAGCAGCAGCAGCAGCAGCAGCAGCAGCAGCACGAGCAAGAGTGGGGGTTCAACCCGAGACTCATGCCGGAAGAAATTGCTGCAGAAGCTGCAGCAGACTGTCCGCAGCTGCTCCCACTGCAGCGGCTACAGCAGCAGCAGCAGCAGCAGCAGCAGCAGCAGCAGCAGCAGCAGCAGCTGGGAGACAGCAGCGAAGCATCCGAAGCAGAGCCCCTCCTCGCTAGTCCCGTGTGACAATTTAAAACTGCCAAACCCTAAACCCTCGCACTGAGTCGTGTCAAACCCTCGAGTTTAGCTGGAAACCCTAAACCCTAAACCCTAGCTTACGCAGTAAAGACCCAAAGACGCGACGCGGCGCTTTTGGCTTCGAGAGACACAAGCGAGTACATGAAGCTTCCTGGTTGCTGCTGCTGCAGTGCTGCTGCTGCTGCTGCTGCTGCTTGGGCCTCCGGCGGCGGCATCATAACGCGTCTGCGTCTGCTGCTGCTGCTGAAGCAGTAAGCAGCAGCAGCAGCAGCAGCAAGCGAAACCTCGCCCAGCGGCATCCTCTCGACCTTGAGCAGCATTGGCTGCTGCTGCTGCAGCTGCAGCGCGACCTCGCCGTTGCTGCTGCTGCTGCTGCCGAGAGCAGAACTGTTTGCTGCAGCGGATGCTGCAGCAGCAGCAGCAAAAGTCTCCGCCCCATCTTCTGGCAGCACGGCCCCACAGATTGCAGGGGGGCAAACGTAGGCCACAAGCAGCTGCAGCAAACGCAAATCTAAACCCTAATTTCCGTCAAACCCTAAACCCTAAACCCTAATGGGAACTAAGCTGGAAGCTGGAAGCAGCAGAGCCAAAACGCACCTCGGAAACTGTTACGCCAAGTGCTGCTGCATGCAGCTGCCACTTCAGCTGCTGCTGCTGCGCCTCTTCGCTGCTGCTGCTGCTGCTGCTGCGCTGCAGCAGCAGAAGCCAGCAGCGGCTCTCCCAATACCCGAGCGAGACGTCGACTGCAGCAGGGAGCCGCCAAATTGTGCTGCTGCTGCTGCTGCTGCTGCTGTCGCTGCTGCCAAGCGCATTTTGCAGAAGTACGACTTGGTGACCTGCGGTGCTGCTGCTGCTGCTGCTGCTGCTGTTGTTGCTGCAGCGGATTCGCTGCAGCTGTCGCTGTAGCTGCTGCTGCAGCAGCGCCTCGACGCGGTCGGGCTGAAGCATTCCCCTTGCTGCTTCGCTGGGGTGCTGCAGCAGCAGTTGCTGCTGCTGCTGCTGCTGCTGCAGGAGACCCGCGCAGGCGCTGCAGCCGAAGGGGTGCTGCTGCTGTTCAATTGCGTCAAGCAGCTGTGGGGTGCAAGCAGCAGAGACAGTGGAGACAGCAGCAAGCAGCGCATGCAGCGGCAGCGCTGCTGCACCAATAAGGGCTTTTGCTGCAGTGGTCATGACCTGCTGCTGCTGCTGCTGCTGCTGCAGCAGCTCCTTCAGAGGGAACGCAGGCAAAATGTGGCGCAGCGCCGAAGCCAGCGAGCCCAGGGGCACCAGAGCAGCAGCAGCAGCATGAGCAGCAGCAGCAGCAGCAGCGCCCACAGACGTGGGGTGTACGTACACCGCACGCGCTGCTGCTGCCACGTGCTGCAGCGAAGCCCGCAGGCTTCCCAGGGCTTTTGCTGAAGCAAGAATTTTGGGGGTTTGCAGCAGCAGCAGCGCAGCATAGTGGGCCAGCAGCTCCCGCTGCAGCAGCAGCAGCGGGGAGTGCAGCCGCCGCAGCAGCAGCAGCGGGAACTGCACGCTGCAGCAAGAAACAGCAGCAAGAGCAGCAGCACCTCCCAGCTCCACAGACACTGCAAAAGGGCAGCTAGAAATGTACAGCTCTTCGATGCTGCAGGCCCGCAGCAGCTCTCCGCCCCACGCTGCGGGAGGCTCTGCAGCAGCAGCAGCAGCAGCAGCAGCTGCTGCTGCTGCTGCTGGGTCCGCCGCCGCGTCTTGCTGCTGCTGCTGCTGCTGGAACAGGGGGCGCAGCGCAGAAACTGCAGCAGCCAAACTCACTCCCCATCGAAGCAGCTGCTCGTCAACGCGAACACTAACAACATAGCCCTTCTGCTGCTGCTGCTGCTGCTGCTGCTGCTGCTGCTGCTGCTGCTGCTCCTTCTGAGGCGTTTCTGCTGCTTCCAGCGAAAGCAGCGGCAGCGAAGGCAGATCTGGTAGCAGCGCCTCCGGACCCATCCATGGGGGGAAGACTTGCTGCTGCTGCTGCCGCTGCTGCTCACGCTGTGGATGCTGCTGCTGCTGCTGCTGCTGCTGCGGTTCCTGCAGCGACTCCATAACTGTAGCAGCAGCAGCAGCAGCAACACCGGGAGGCAACTCTGCCTTGCTGCTGACCGAACGAACAAGGCAACAGACCGCTGGCAAGCAGAGCCATTGCTTCACGCTGCTGCTGCTGCTGCTGCTGCTGCTGCTGCTGCAGAGCGACGCCGAGTCAAAGAGCAGCGAGTGCTCTTGAAGGCGCTCCGTAATGAGCTGCAGCATGCCGTTGCTGCTGCTGCTGCTGCTGTTGCTGCTGCTAAATATGTAGCGAATGCGCCTGCAGTGCAAAATTGCAGTTTCTGTGCATTCTATATCTGCTGCAGCAGCAGCTCCTGCAGCAGCTGCAGCAACCAGAGACCCTGCTGTGCTGCTGCTGCTGGCAACAGCAGCAGCTGCTGCAGTGTCGGGGGAGGAGAGGGACATGAGGAGCTTCTCAACAGCCACTTCGAAAGTGAGCTGCTGCACCCACTGCTTGCTGCTGCTGCTGCTGCTGCTGCTGTTGCTGCTGCTGCTGCTGTTGCGATTATCGGGGTGGCCTGAAATGCCTTCGGCCTTTGCTGCAGCCATATCCGATGACGCTGCTTCTGCTGCTGTTGCTGCTGCTGCAAGAATCGCACCCAGCGGGGTGCCACTTGGTGCAGCAGCAGCAGCAGCTGCTGCTGCTGCTGCTGCTGCCTGCCGCTGCTGCAGCAGGAACTCCACCTGTTTCATTGGGCAAGGGACGCACAGCCGTGTCAACCGCTCTGCTGCTTCAGCAGCAGCTGCTGCTGCTGCTTCCGGGCAAGCAGCAGCTGCTGCTGCTGCTTCAGCAGCAGTAGCAGTCGCAGCTGCTGCAGACATGGCTTCCCAGACAAGGGAGCTGCAGAACGGCACGAAGTCAACAGTGAGTAAGGAGCAGCAACTGCTGCTGCTGCTGCTGCTGCTGCTGCTCAGACGCACCACCATGCAGCCGCCTATGGGCTCTGCAGCAGCAGCAGCAGCAGCAGCAGCACGCGACGGGAACAACAGCGCCCACGGGGTAGAGCTGGCAGCTGCTGCTGCAGCAGAAGCTGCGCGCGCCCCATTGCCAGCAGCATCAGCAGCACCAGCAGCAGGCACAGCAGCAGCAGCTGCTGCTGCTGCTGCATATTCAGCAGCAAACTGTCGCGGCACGCGAGGCACCAAGAAGCGCGAAACAACTTCCCCCTGCTGCTGCAGCAGCAGCGGCTCAGACCACTGGCCCCGCAGCCTGCTGCTGCTGCTGCTGCTGCTGAGAGGCAGGAGGCTGGGGGAGATGCCTGCAGCAGACAGTGCAGTGGCAGCACAGTGTTGCCTTCAAACCCTAAACCCTAAACCCTAAACCCTAAACCCTAAACCCTAAACCCTAAACCCTAGCAATGTAACCTCAGCAGAGCTTCTGCTCACCGTCTGTTTCCTCGTCGTCGAGGGCGCACAGTTGCACATACACCTCATTCCTTGGAAATGCTGCTGCTGCTGCTGCTGCTGCTGCGCTGCTG